GGCTCGGCGCCCCCGCCCTCCGCGCCCCTGCCGGCAGCGGCCGCCAGATTACACTCCGGACGGCGGGGCCGCCCAGATCATCTCCGGGCGGAGCACCCGCCCAGGGAAGGGGCAGCGGGGTGCCCCCAGACTGCCCTGTGAGAGGGCCCGGAAAGAGCCCTCTGGCGCCCGTCTGGCCGCGAGGATACATATTCTGATCGGCGAGGCCACGGGGCGTCTGGAACCCTTCTGAGATGGAGGAAATAGGTCCTCAGGTTGAGAGGTGTCCTGAAAAAGACAGCTAAGGTGCAGCGGGGGTAGGAGGGCCATGCTAAGGGGAACATCTTTCTGACGACAACACTGCCTCTCGTTTGAATGGCGCTTTATACTTTTTTAAAAGTGTTTTCTATCCGTTATGCACGTCACCCTTAGCCTGTCCCTCTGAGATAGGCTGGTGGGATTTTCCCGACATGGTGAAAACTTCGGTGACATGTCCACCCCATGTTGCACAACAGGAGGGCCCCCATCCCTGCGCAGTGCCACCCCACACTGCCTACCTCGGTGTCTGGGACCTCTCGGGGCATGGCTTCTGTCCTTTCCTCCCATTCCTCCACACCCAACGAAAAAGAGAAGCCAGAAGCAACAGGGGCCAACCTGCAGGGTTATGGGGTGGGGGTCCCAGATGCCCCCAGGGTGTCCTTTGAAAGACTCTACCAAGTTGCCCTCAACCTCCTCCCTCCTCCAGCCTTCCTTCATGCACAACAGCGACCTGGGACCTGGCCCGGTCGGCAGCCCTGCCCTGGTCAGAACACGTCCTAATGGTCATCTCAGTCTCTCCAGGGCTGCAGGCGTGAGGGGGAGCAGCCGTCGAGGCAAGAGCCTCTGCGCGGGAGAGCCAGGCCAGGGGGTGCTAGAGAATCGGAGAGCCTGGGTCTCTCCTGCCAGAGCCTCTCATTGGTGCTATCTGCTCGGGGACAAGGACACAGACCCTAATATGCTCCAGACCCCGCAGGGGCTTTGGGAAGCGCCCAAAGGACTCCCACGTTGGTGCATCTGCTCAGCGGCCCCAGCACTTCGTCCTGAGGCCCACAGTCTCCATTTCTGCGTCCTGCATGGCCAGGCCCCGGGGTGGGGTGGCATGCCCCAGAACCCCGTTTGTGTCAAGAATGACTTTCCCCGCTCCTCCCCAAAGTCCCGCTTCTCTTACAGCCGGGAGCCCGGGGGGGTGGCAGCACTCGGCACCACACTGAGCATCCTGCCTCCGCCCTTCCCCTCCTCTGCTGCGCTGCTTTCCTCCCACCCCTTCTTGCCATGCAAAGGGAATTCTTGAGATTCAATAAAAGGTATCCAGATTGCACAGTGCGTGTTCACAGAGCCCAAGGGTCTCCAGCTCAGCCTCCAGTAGTGGCCTCTCAGTAACCTAGAATCCGGTAAACTGGGATGTTTTTTTGGCTGGGAGGGCTCCATTCTGTGTTTTGAAGGAGGCTGATCTTAAGAAAACCAGTTGAGAAGTTAGACAAGGTTCAGCTGAGTTTTGTTAGAGAGGGGGGACCCTAGTGCAGTGATTTGATTGGGAGGGGGCAGTGCTACTTTTTTAAAGCATTTGCAGAAAGTCCACATGTTCATAATCTAGATCATGGAAAATTAGTCCAACAAGTTTTATTGGCTGTTGGGAGCATGAGGAAGAGAGAAGTCACTACAGAGGCATGGGTTTAAACGTGTGAGCACACAGATCTAGCCTGATCCCTTTATTTTACCCTCAAGGAGTTGATTCCCAAAGAGGTTTTGTGAATGAGCTAGTGAGGGAGTCAAGACCAAGTCACTGGTTTCCGGGTCCCAGTCTGGTGGATCCCCCTGCACCAAGTATCCCTTAGCAGCCTCCGGCATGCCCCAGAGAGTCCAACATTGAGCTTGACCGCAGAACTGATCTGAGATTGTGACATTTGGAAAGCCAACCTCTGCCAGCTCCCAGGCAGTAGAAGCCTCAGCATGGACCCTGGAGTCCACCTACTGAAGCAGAACAAGGATCTCATTTTCCTTCTGAAAAAAAAAAAAAAATTATGATGGTAAAAATTCATACTAAAACAAAAAGAGTAAAACGCTTTCCTACCAGACTACTGAGAAGCATCCAGTGCTAAGAGCTTTGGTATCCTTCCAGAACTATGTTCAATTTCCCAGATGTTTGTTTGCTTCCTCATCTCAGGGTATACTTTGTTTTCTGGGCTTTCTGCCCCGTCAGCCTGGACGTTCCAGCAGGGCTGTGGGATGGCACTGCACTGCACCGTCTCTGCATGGTTGTCAGATTCCTGGTCATGTGCAGGGCTCTGCAAAGGCTGCTGCTCAGAGGTAGAGGAGAACCTGGAGTGGTGGCCCTTTCAGCAGCCTCATGGAAGCTCATGGCCTCGGTCCCTTTACCTTTTGCCAGTTTGTGTCTTAATGTATAGAAAAGGAAGGTTGAGGAATGGTGGGAGGACTGGATCATTATTCAACATTTAGTAACACCTCCTCTTTGGGAACAGAGAAGTACAAGACTCAGTCCTTGCCCTCCAAGAGGCTGAAGGCTAATAGATGGTATCTGTGAGAATGAAACCGTGTTCTTGAAACAATATGGCTGTATGAGTGTGGTGGGGGCTTCAGAAGTACATACTTGATCTCCCCAAGGTGCCCCATGAGGATATCAGACTGGGTAAACTTGGGAAACACTGATCTAAAGAGGCCATTTTGTTCCGTAAATCACCTTTTTAGTGTTTAACAATGTCTAGTCAGGATGGCACTATAGGGGTACAAGTGACTGGAATTGAGTGTCTTAGTCTTCTAGGGCTACTGTAACAAGATCCCATAAGAACAGAAATTTGTTGTTTCACAGTTCTGGAGAACTGGGAGTCTGAATTCAGAACATCAGCAGGGCCGTGCTCTCTCTGTCCACTCAAGGGGTGACATGGAAGTTGTCTCTGGGGAGGTAAAATTAGAGCTGAGCCCTGCATGCTACGAAGGAGCCAGTCCCGTGAAAATAAATTTAGTTCTCAGGGGAAGCACTTCATGCCTATCACTCTATGTGGAAGTTCATTGCCTTTCTCTGTGGAGACACTGTGCTATAAATTAGGCAGGTATGGTTATTCAGCCATGTTTTCCAAACCAAATCTCCAAACGCACCATCTCACAGTAGCACCAAGACTGGATTAAATATTTGAAACCAGGGCGACCTTGGAAACTCCAAGGCATGTAGGTACCATAGTTAGCAGGCTACGGTGGGTTGGCCTGGGCACCTGACCTCCACTGTTTATATGGGGAAGTGTGTTTCTAGTTCCTAAAAAGCAAGCCACAAGGTGTGAACTTTCAGAATAACCAAGCCTCTTGCCATTTGGCACCACATCTTTTTTCCCCTACTAGATTACATGTTCTTCCCTCAGAACAGAGTCTAAGTTTTGTACAATTTTCAGTCCCTTGGCGCAGTTCGCGGAATCCTGGGCACATATGAGACTCATAGCCAAGGCCCTTCGTTGGCCTTTTGTTCTGAACCTGCCCTTGACTTAGAGACAGAGAGCCCTCCTGACCCGTCCCAGCCCAGAGCTCCAAGCTGCTGTTCACCCTCCGGCCACAGAGGGCGCCGCGGGACGCACGCTGTGGAGCCAGGCGGCCGAGGCCGTCTTGGCCGGGAGGCCCCTGATCCTAGAATGCATCGCGCGTCTCCCAGCATGCACTTGCGTCAACACAGCGGCGGCGGCTTCCAGAGGGGTCCGGTGTGGCCCGGGATACCAAGTAGCTCGGGTGTTGAGGGCGACAGTCACCATGGCGGAGGCAGCGCCAGCGCGGGTAAGAGGCGCTTTTGCCCTGGCCGAGGGCGCGCCCGGCCCAGGGCGGGCTCCGTGTCCCGGACTCAGTGGGGGCTTGGTCCCCGGGGCTGGGCCGACGCCACTGGACACCTGCCCTGCTCCCGCGACCCCGACGGTCCGCCCTGACGTTCACCGGCTCTGTCCGCGTCGGGGTGGGAGCCCCAGTGCTTTGCGCCTTCTCGGAGATACTTCTCTGAGGCTCGTTTCGCAACCACACAGGTGGCTCCTGCTAGTGCTAGGAGAGAGCCCGCTTCCAGGTTGAAGAGTCTGGGTCTCCATCGCTGCCAGTGAGCGCACCGGGCACGTGGAGGACCCAGGACTTATTGCCTGTCTACACGACCCGCTTGTTCTTGGCCTGGTGTGTTGCTCGTCCCTTCTGCCACACTCTCCGGCTTCAGACTTTTCTGTACTTGGGGCAGAGCCACAGGTTGAAGCCAGGCTGAGCTTCCTCTCCTTGGGGACAGATGTTACTTCACGTTGTATTCCCTGAGTTTTGTTTGTGAAACTGTCTGACACACTCCTCCCTTCCTGCCCTTCCCCAACTATCCCCATTCAACGAATGTCAAGACATAGAGCTGGGTTTGAGGAAAAGCCTGGACATGGAGTCAGGAAACTGGACAGCTGTAACTCAACTCTCAGCTCTCCACTGTCAAGCTGGGTGATTTTAAGCACCTGTGTTCACCCATCTGAGCCTCTATTTCTGTACCTGTAAATCAAGAGTGTTCAGCTAGTTGCTAGATGATCTCTAAGGTTCCTTCCAGCTCTGACGTTCTCATATCATTCCGAAGTAGTGGTTAATTTAATAATACAGTGCGATTTTCTGTGGCAAAGGCAGGTGAAATTTAGTGGGTTTTTAATGCAGCATTTTTTGCTCCAGGGACACTTTCAAAATTATGTCAGATCTTTGTGAGAATTGAGAGAGAAGGAAGTCCTGTGGTGAAACTTTAGCATGTGGAGAGTGTACTGTGTTTGATTCTTGTAGGAAATGGGTAACAACTAAAAGGGGAAGGCTCAGAGGATTTATAGAACACAGTGTTTGTTTTCAAGGAAGTTAGAGTTGAATTAAGAAGACAAGACACAGATGTTTACAACATTTACATCATGTGAACCTTTGAAGCTAAGCAGATTTTAGTACTGAAGTGGGGCAGGAGGACATTACTAACTTCCAGAGTGCTTCCTCATGACCAGTTAGTCCACAGTTACTAACATGTCATCAATAGATCTTCTTAAGAGGAAGCCAATAAAGACCCACCCCAAATCCCAAACTTTGCTTTAAATAACTTGTTGTGGATCTGTCATTATAGGACTTATTTAAATTGCTCTTGAATGTATTTTTATTCTCAAACATTATCTCTTCAGTTGAAGAATCTGTAACTCTCATTTGACAGTCTGAACAATTAGATGCCTGACTGAGTGTCCTGATGAAACCAACTAAAAATGCTGGGGGAAAACCCCACACAAATATGTAAGATATTTTAAAATGTACATTAGTAAATAATACTTGAAGCGCAAAAACTAAATTAGTTTTTAATTTTTTTTTTTTTATTGTGCTTTAGATGAGGGTTTACAGAACAAATAATTTCTTATTAAATAAAAAGGGAACTCTTAAGCAGAGTTCTAAAGCCAACTTTTAGGGCATTTGCTGAGCATTGATCTTCGGTGTTTATGGCCCCAAGGGACCTGGAAAATAGAAGACAAAACCCAGAGCCTAAGATGGGGAGTCTAAGAAGCCCCCTACCGCAACCCCATAAAGCAGAAACTTCGAAGGGCAGCGTTCTATGTAAGGGGGAACTGGAAGTAAACTTTTATTCCCAGGTGATTGCAAAGAAAGTGGTGCCAAACCTTGGTGCTAAGAGATGCAGGGCAGATGATGGGGATGCCCTTTGAGAATTCATGGTGACCCTCGTGTGGGTTTGTTGCCTGAATTCATACTACCTGGATTGTCCAAGAAGCCTCAAGCCAAGAATTTAAAGCAGAGTCCCCAGCTGTCTAGTAGAAATAAACACAGATCTTCTCTGGAGAAATTTATATTTAACACAGACTTTTTTTTTTTTTTCTTTTTTAATTTCTCATTTAAAAATTTATACACATTTTGTTTTGTGACATTAGTTGCAATCCCCACAATGTGACAGCACGCTCCCCTTCCACCCTGGGTTTCCTGTGTCCATTTGACCAGTTCCTGTTCCTTTCTGTCTTCTCATCCTGCTTTTGGACAGGAGCTGCCCATTTGGTCTCATATATCTGATTGAACTAAGAAAAGCACATTCCTCATTTTTTGTTTTATAGTCCTGTCTAATCTTTGTCTGAAGAGTGGGCTTTGGGAATTGTTTCAGTTCTAGGTTAACGGTGCATCCGGGGACCACAGTTTCAGAGGTTCCTCCAGTCTCTGTAACACAGATTTTAGATAATTCTCATAGATAAAGTTCCAAGAAATATGAGCCCACAATCAAAAATTACTAAAGAAGCAAGGAAAAACCATGAGGAAAAGACGGTGAAAACAATGGATAACAAAACTAGATCCTCAAAGATTTCAAGTATTGGAATTATCAGACACAGAATATGAAATAAGTATGTTTAGTATATTTAAAGATTAAAAGAAAGCATAGAAAATATGATTAAAGGCCAAGAGACTATAAAATGATTAAACAGACTAGAAAAACAAAATGTCTTAGAATGAAAAACGTAATTAAAATGAAAAAGTCAGGAGAGATTGGAACTATTATGCACTGCTGGTGGGAATGCAAAATGGTACAACCATTTTGGAAAATGATATGGCGCTTCCTTAGAAAGCTAGAATTAGAAATACCATATGATTCAGCAATCCCACTCCTAGGAATATATCCTAGAGAAGTAAGAGCCACCACACAAATAGACATATGCACACCCATGTTCATTGCAGCATTGATCACAATAGCAAAAAGTTGGAAACAACCTAGATGCCCATCAACAGATGAATGGATAAACAAACTATGGTACATACACACAATGAAATACTACTCAATGATGAAGAACAATGATGAATCTGCAAAGCATCTCATAACATGGATGAATCTGGAGGGCATTATATTGAGTGAAATAAGTCAATCACAAAAGGACAAATATTGTATGAGACTGCTACTATAAAAACTCGTGAAAAGGTTACACACAAAAAGAAACAATCTTTGATGGTTATGAGGGAGGCGAGGGGTGGTGATGGAAAAACACTAAATAAACAATAGATAAGTGGTAACTTTGGTGAAGGGTGAGACAGCACACAGTACTGGAGAAGCCGGCACAACTTGTCCAAGGCACGGTCATGGAAGCTCCATAGACACATCCGAACTCGCTGAGGGATGTGGGGACCATGATCTTGAGGAACATCTAGCTCAATTGGCATAACATAGTTTATAAAGAAAATGTTCTACATTCTACTTTGGTGAGTAGCGTCTGGGGTCTTAAAAGTTTGTAAGCAGCCATCTAAGATACTCTACTGGTCTCACCCCATCTGGAGCAAGGGAGAGTGAAGAAAACCAGAGACACAAGGGAAAGATTAGTCCAAAGGACTAATGGACCAGAAGTACCACAGCCTCCATCGGACTGAGTCCAGCACAACTAGATGGTGCCAGGCTACCACCACTGACTGCTCTGACAGGGATCACAATAGCGAGTCCCGAACAGAGCTGGAGAAAATGTAGAACAAAATTCTAACTCACAAAGACCAGCCTTACTGGCCTATAAGACTGTAGAAACCCTGAGAGTATGGGTCCCGGACACCCTTTTAGCTCAGTAATGAAGTCACTGCTGAAGTTCACCTTCAGCCAGAGATTAGACAGGCCCGTAAGACAAAACGAGACTAAAGGGGCACACCAGCCCAGGGACAAGGGCTCGAAGACAGGAGGGGACAGGAAAGCTGGTAATAAGGAACCCAAAGTCGAGAAGGGGAGAGTGTTGACATGTTGTGGGGTTGGTAACCAATGTCACAAAAAAACACGTGTACTAATTGTTTAATTAGAAGCTAGTTCTGTAAACCTTTATCTAAAGTACAATAAAAAAAAAAGTCAATGGAAAGTTTTACTCAGCACATTAGAAATGCTGAGGAGGTAAGTAGCTTGATGGTAGAGTGGAAGAATGCAGCATAGAGTGAAAAAAAAGATGGAAAACATGAAAAGTTAAGAGAGATGGAAGATAGAATGAGAAAGTGTAACATTTATGTAATTGGAATTCACGTACATGCACGCAAACATTCACGTACATGTGTGCGTGTGTGCGGACTCTGCACTGGAAGCCATATTTGATGAGGACCTAATGGCTGAGAGTATTATAAAACCAAAAAACTAAACCAAATCTGTTGCCATCGAGTTGATTCTGACTCATAGCAACCCTGTAGGGTAGGATAGAACTGCCCCATAGGGTTTCGAAGGAGCAGCTGGTGGATTCAAACTGCTGATCATTTGGTTAGCAGCTGAGCTCTTAACCACTGAGCCATCAGGGCTCCAAGAGTATTATTAAACTGATGCAAAGTATTAATACACAGAAACCTAGTAGATCTCAGTCAGAATATATAAAAAGAAATCACCTTGATGTATAATAGTGAAAGTACAAAATGCAAGGCAGAAAGAATTCAAAAGCAGCCAGATAAAAAACAAGATACATTCAAGTGAACCACAATACAACTAAGGGGTTAACTTCTCAACAGCAATGATGGAAGCCAAGACAGTAATGATATCAATTAACCGAAGGAAAATAACTGTGATCCAAAAATTTTCTGCTCAGCAAGAATGTTTTTCAAAAAAAAGAGTATACTTCATAGACATAACCAGACACCTCACGGGATTGAATTTCTGGGTTTGCAGGATTAGGACCATAGTCTCATGGGACATCGCAGTACACTGGCAGAATATAGTTCATAAAGTTCTACATCCTAGTTTGATGAGTAATGTCATCTGGGGTTTTAAAAGTTTTCGAGCAGCCATCTAAGATACAACTATTCGTCTCTACTTGTCTGGAGCAAAAGAGAAAGAAGGAAACCAAAGACTCAAAGAAAAAACTAGTCAACAGGACAGATAGTCTACACAAAGCATGGCCTCATCTACCCTGAGACCAGAACAGCTACATGGTGCCTGGCTACCCCTGCCGACCGTTCTAATCAGGGCCACAATAGATGGACCCTGATAGAATGGGAGACAGATGTGGAACAGAACCTCAAAATCCCAAAAACAAAACAAAATACCATACCTACTGGACTGGTTGAGACTGGAGGACTCCTTGAGACTGGTGCCCTGAGGCACTCTTCAAACCTTGAACCTAGACTAACCCCTGAGGTCACCTTGTAGCTAAATAACAAATTGGCTCAAATAATAATGACTATCACCTGTAAGTACTGTGCTCCTTTAAAAGATCACCTATATGAGACCAAATGGTTACCAATTACTTTAAAACAAAGATGAGAATATAAGGGGGCAGAGAAACGAAATTCATGGAAATGGAACAGCCAGAATGGAAATAATGAGAATGTTCATGCATTGTGAAGGATGTAACCAATGTCACTGAACAACTTGTGTAGAAATTGTTGAATGGGAACCTAAACTGCTGGGTAAACCTTCACTAAAAACACAATAAAAAAAATCTTTTTTAAAGAGTAAAATAAAGACATTTTAAACAAATTAAGACTGAGTTTGCTACCAACATATTCGTTAACGGATATCCTTAAGGATCTACTGCAGGTAAATGGAAAATTATCCCAAATGGAACGCCTGAAAATGTAAGAAAGTATGATGATACATGGAAAATGGGTAAATCTCAACAAATATTGACTGAATAAAGCAGTAGTAATATCGCGTGGGATTAAAAACAGAGGCATAATTAAAATACATGACAGTATTGATATAAAAGTCAGGAGAGGGTGATCAGAATTAAAGTGTTTGAAGGTGTTTGTGTTTGAGAAAAATGTAAAGTTTAGACTATGATAAATATTCATCCTGTAATTTCTAGGATAATTGCTAAAAGACTAGACATAGGCTGTATGACTTTTAAAGTAGAAGGACAGAATAATAGTTCAGAAAAAAACCATCTAAAAAGGCAAAGAAGGAGATGAAAAGAAAGATGGGATAAATAGCACAAAACAAGAAAAATATATTAACTACAATAAATTAAATGTACTAAATGTTCTAGTTAAAAAGCAAACATTGTCAGAATGGGGGAAAAATCCAGCTACATGGTTTATAAGAGATAACTAAAAGATAAAGATACGGAAAAAGTTGACTGTAGAAGAATATGAAGAGATATATTAGGCAAATATCAAAACAAAGTTGGCTTATCTGTATTCATATTGCTAGAGATAGAGGGCTATTACTGCTTCTATAACAATAAAAGACTCAGATTACCAGATTAATAAAACGTTTATAAACTTGGATATACCTTGGTTGTGTTTGCGTTCCTGACTGCTAATGTGGTTTCTCTTCATTTGTTTATTGACCATCTGCGCTTCCACTTTCATAAGTTACTTATGGTCTTCAGTTTTACTCTCGGGTTAATTTTTCTTTCCACTTCATATCTTGTTTACAAATATTCTCTTTTAATTTGTTTTTACACTTTAGTATATTCATGACAGCTATTTAATATTAAAAATATTCTACCTTGAGATTAGACACTCATTTTAAGTCAAGTGTATTTAGATACGGTTTACAAAAACAGTAAAATTCACTTTTTAGGTATACAGTTCAATGAGTTTTGACAAATGTGCGTCACCATTACCAAGATAGAGACTATTTCCATCTTCCCGGAAGGTTCCCGCCTGTCCTTTTGTAATCAGTCTTCTCGGCAACAACTGATCTTTCTGTCCCTGTAGGTTTGCCTTCTCTAGAACGGTATGTGAATGGAATACAGTAAGTAGCTTTTGTGTCTGACCTCTTAGTATAATGCTTTAGAGAGTCATCCGTGGTACACGTAACAGTAGTTTGTTTCTTGCTGAGTAGTATTCCATTAAGGAGCCCTGGTGGCGCAGTGGTTAAGCGCTCGGCTGCTAAGCAGTTCGAACCCGTGAACCCACAGGAGACAGATGTGGCAGTCCGCTTCTGTGAAGATGACAGCCTTGGAAACCCGATGGGGCAGTTCTACTCTGTCCTCTAGGGTCACTGTGAGTCCAGATCGGCTCAACGGCACACAGCAGTATTCCATTGTATGGATGGATCACGGTTTGGTTATCCATTCACCAGTTGACGGACTTTTGAATTGTTTCCGTTAAATAGATAATTCAAAACAAAGGAAAAGAAGAAACTTGCTATCTAGAAGAGGAGGAGGTTATTGCTCTGCTCAGGTCCCAACCCATTTTTTATCTGGAAAAAGAGCTAGCAAACAACAAAACGCTAAGCCACAGAGAGGAAAGAGGAGAAGCGAAAAAGCTAGCTGCTTAGAGATCTAAAGTTAAAAGCAGAACAAATATGATGAAATGTTTTTATCCAGTCATCTATTATTTTGGTTTGTTTCACTTGTATTCATCTTCTACATTAAATTTTTCTTTTAATGTTTTTTAGGGAGCTGTTTAAGCTTTTGACTTAAGTGTGTTTGGTAGTGAGTTAACTGAGTGGAGTAATTGGAGTAGTCGTGGCCAGGCTGTGTTCAGTCATTTCATTCTGTCCCCGTTCCTCCAGACTGCCGCTCTTGGTCACAGCAGCTCTGTTGGAGATAACTGCCTCTCAGTGTCCTCACTGTGGTTAGAGAAGCTACCTCAGTGACATGTGTGACACATAGAAGAATGTGAAGATTTGGGGTTTTAGGACTAAAATGATATACAGTGGGAAATGGGGGCAAGAGGGCAGTTTTGACAAGCGTGTAAACATTACCTTTACCAAGATAAAGAATATTTCCATCATCCCAGAAAGTTTCCTCCAACCCCTAGGTGGCTAAGTGTTGGTTTTAATAATTTTGAACTTCAATCACAGTGACTCTCCTACTGCAGGAACAGACCATAAAAATGAGAATTATAAGGAGAACATCAGTAGGTTTAGTGAAGTCATTTCAGAAAGGAAATGTTTATGGAGAATTTATTATGTGTTATTCATAGAACTTGCTGCTAGGTTGCAAAGGTGAATGAGTTAGGTCCTAACAGGCCCTGTCAAAGAATTTTGTCTCTACTGTGGGGGAGCCATTAAAAGGTTTTTAGCAGGGGTGAAGCGATCAATTTTGAAGTCTGGTGGGATTGTGGAGGCAAGACAAAAAACCAAAACCAAACCTGAGTCGATTCTGACTCAGTGACCCTGTAGGACAGAGTAGAACTGCCCCATAGGGTTTCCAAGGAGTGGCTGGTAGATTCGAACTGCTGACCTTTTGGTTGGCAGCCGAGCTCTTAACCACTGCACCATCAGGGCTCTGTGGAGGCAAGAGTGGATGTAAATTACATTTATTTATCATAGCAAAAAATTACAAATAGTCCAAAATATTGTATAGAAAGAAATTGGTTTTAAAAAACGAATACTGGCATGGAAAAGTGCTTATAAAATAATGCTAAATGTGAAAAGCAGGTAACAAAACATTATATACAATATGATTTCAATTTCGTCAAAAAAAGTTTTAAAGATGAAAAAAGCTTATAAGAAATACACAAATTCTAACAGCTTACCTCTGGATGGTGGTATTTTGCATGGTTATTTTTCCTTTCTATTTTCCATTATTTTCCAAACTTATTAGAATGTACACGTGTAGTTTTCAGTGTCAGAATAAAAAAGAATGTGTCTATTTCACAAGTAGCTTTACAAACCGGACGCCAAACCCACTGCCACCGAGTAGACACCGACTCAGAAAACGACAGCTAGATATTAGGGAGCTCTCGGCGCTTCCGGCACGTGGGCATTGCTTTTCTCACTCCATGTTTGGAAACGACCTTGTCAGGCTGACCATAACTGTATTTTTCACAGCACAAGAGAAAACGTCGCTCCACACCTTTAAGTTCTTCCACACTTCCTCCACAAGCAACAGAAAAAAGCTCATACCTGCAGACCACAGAGATCTCACTCTGGACTGTGGTGGCTGCCGTCCAGGCCGTGGAGAAGAGGATGGAGTCCCAGGCTGCCCGGCTACAGAGCCTGGAGGGACGGACAGGGACAGCTGAAAAAAAGCTGGCCGACTGCGAGAAGACGGCCGTAGAGTTCGGGAACCAGCTGGAGGGCAAGTGGGCCGTGCTGGGAACGCTGCTGCAGGAGTACGGGCTGCTGCAGCGGCGGCTGGAGAACATGGAGAACCTGCTTCGCAGCAGGAACTTCTGGATCCTGCGGCTGCCCCCGGGGAGCGAGGGCGAGGTGCCCAAGGTCAGCTCGTGGGATTAAAAGGGAGGCAAGAAGGGAGAGCAACCCTTTTCGTTTAAGTCTCTAAACTGCTGCCTTTTCCTTCCTGGCTACAACTAGAGACCCTCACCGCATGGCATTTGTGATTTCAGGTGTCCAGGTCGTTTGAGGATGACGGAGTCTGTCTTTCAGAGCAGGAATGGGAGAACCTGGAGGACTGGCAGAGGGAGCTTTACAGAAATGTGAAGAGCAACTGCGAGACTCTGGTCTCTCTGAGTAAGCGCGTTTCCTCCTCAGAATTCTCGTCGGATGTCCTCCGGTTCCTGGCCGGGAGCTTGTCACCTGCATTCCTAGAATCTGAGATTCCAGTTGGTGTCTGGGTCCTCGGTTGGCCTGTGCAGGGTTGAGAATGAGCATCACTGTGTCTGCCATTTCCGAGACATTGGGAAGGTCTCACTGTTGTTTGTGCCCTTTGTGTTTGAGAAGTGGCGTGTGGAATCGCCCAGATTTCTGAGGAATAAGAACCAGGATCAGCACAAAGCTGTTCCTGTGAGGCAGAGGTCAGACATACCTCTACTCCTGGACTGTCTCTGACACCAGCCATTCCCCCATGGCACTCTGTACTTCTCTGCTGGGTTTGATAGTTCACTGCAGTGGCCACACAGAACTCCCAGACCATACTCATAGTTATGTGGTTTATTAAGGAAGTAACAGGCTACAACTTGGGATCAGGATCAGGAAGCCCATAGGCAAGGTCTGGAAGACGCCCCCAAAGTGGAGAGCATATCCTTCAGTGCAGGACGGCTTCCAACCAGGACAGCTGTCTCAGCTGCTCTCATCTGTGCAGGCAAGCAGGCCCGTCTCAGCCGCGCATGCTCGCTCTCAGCCGCGCAGGCCTCTGCCCTCAGGCTTCTCTGCTGCTAACTAGCCCAGCTCCTAGCCAGCGTTTAGCAGCTTGCTCAGCTCTCTTGGCTGCTCTCTTAGCAGAGCTTTCAGTCACTTGCCAGGCCTCTTGCAGCCAGTTCTCTACTGCTGAGCCCTCTTCCAGGCCTCTGGCTGCCAGCTGTCTGCCGCTGGGCTGCTTCCAGTCTCCTCACTGTCTTCAGTGTTACAGACCTTGACCCATATTACAGCTCTTTTAGGAGACCCCCCTCATAGGAACCCTGGGTCCAGGCTGCTCTACTCCAGGTCTTCTTGGTCATGAGGGTCCCTCCTTGCCTATCTTCTCTCTCTTTGCCTCTAAAAACCTCTGTAGGGGCTGGCTGCTTATATAAGCAAATTCCTGGTGAGTTTCAAGGCATCTCCCTCCCAGCAGGACCACAAAACGACCAATCCCCTTGGTGGGCTGCAAGTCACTCATTCCTGTTGGGTGTATTTTCAGGCCACTATTTGAATAGTAAATCGACAAATCCCTTGCAAGATTGTGGCCCAGCCAGTCATTTTGGGAGCATCACAAGCCCATGAGATGTCAGTCAACTCAGGTCTTACATAAAAGTAACTTTGTCGGGCAAAATTAACAACCCCCTTTGGTACAGAGGAACCTGGGAGGTCCCCCAAGCAGCTTTCTCCAGAGAACTACGGCAAAGGTAACAGCTCCTGAGGGCTTAAGGGGAAAATCTCCCTAGCTGGTTTTCCAAAGAACCAAGGCAGAAGTCCACTTAAAGGAACTCATTTCAGCATAGTAGTCCTTCTTGGGGTCACATGGGGAGTATTCATTAATAGATGAGTGTCACGTACATGTGCTGTAGTGTGATGTAGCTGGGGTTCCCAGTGCTGTTGTAATAGTCAAGACTTAGACAGGGAATCACGTGTTACCTGCCTGAGGTAGGCAGCACCGGCCAACCGAAATAGTGTCTTTGCATTTGTCTGGATTATAGCCAGTCATTGTGGTCTCATGTTTATTTCATGTTGGTTAGAAGTGATGGTTAGCAGGTGTGAATCTTATTATATTAACTGTTACATACCAAGTGCATTTTATTTGGTAGATAAAATATTTCAAAACCTAGGTCCATGGAAGAATAGCAAGAAGGCCAGTGTGCCTGGAGCAGAGTGACGGGGAGATAAACCGAGGTCAGGGAGTAACTGCCCTGGGCCAGGCGGTGCTCTCTCGGTGCCTGTCACCTCGCCTGTGACCGTGGGGTAGAGGAGCCTTCGCAGGACGGAGTTGGGCACCCCGAACTCGCGGTGCCTGTCACCTCGCCTGTGACCGTGGGGTAGAGGTGCCTTCGCAGGATGGAGTTGGGCACCCCGGAGGGAAGCACTGCCCAAGCCTGCAGCACACGCACACACGAAGAAGGGCCGGTGCTGGTGGAAGGACTATGGGCTCCGGGCTGCCTGAGGCTCTGAGGGCTCTGGCGGGCGTGGGAGCAAAGGCAGAGGGGGGTTGGCCAGATTATTAGAACTGACCATTCTTTTCTAATTGTGCCAAAGTGCCAGGGGAGAAGCGATGAGGACAGCAGCCTTTGACTCTCGCTCTTTAGTGCTGACCCGACACTGGTCTCTGTGCGCACCAGCACCTGACCAGTGCTCGGTGAGTCTCTAGGCTCAGACTGTGCCGTTTCCACCCAGAGGTCCTTGGCCAGCCCGATGGAGAAGCAGAGTTGGGTGCAGAGATGCTGGGTGGCTTGGAGGAGGAAGGCCCTGGCCGTGCCCACCCAGGTGAGTGGTTCCAGAATACTCCACCCATCCCCACCCCCCACAGCCTGTGGTGTGTCACCAGACTGCCAGACACTGACTGTGTGTCCTCCCTGGGCATGTACTTATTCTGGACCTTATAGTTATTAGTTCGCCTCTCTGTGTGTCTAACTCCTCACCAGCACCTGGGGGCCTGAGATCGGGCTCGTGCTGTACTGCTCGTGCAGAGTAGAACCCGTGACAGAAGTCAGTCAGAGCTGCTGGCCCCTGAGGGCGGGTGGCCCAGATCCCCGGGAGTGCTGCTCACTGGGGGGAGGCAGAAACAGAGTGCCTTGTTAAGATAAGGTTTAGTTTTTGTTTTTGTTTTTTTTGTAATCATTCAAATTTATTAACACTTTCAAATTAGTATAGGTGTTAAGGCGTACTTTGCCATTTTTCACAGGGATTAAATACACTGGGAGTATTTTTACAGGAGAACTATCATACTGTTCTATGCAAATATCATTCAGATTCACCATGTATATGCATGAATGCAGATTTAGTTTCCACGGGTCTTACACCCAGTCAGCGCCTCCTCCTCCGATGTCCTGATCCACCCACAGGTCTTACACCCAGTCAGCCCCTCCTCCTCCGATCTCCTGATCCCCCCACAGGTCTTACACCCAGTCAGCCCCTCCTCCTCTGATGTCCTGATCCCCCCACAGGTCTTACACCCAGTCGGCCCCTCCTCCTCCGATGTCCTGATCCCCCCACAGGTCTTACACCCAGTCAGCCCCTCCTCCTCTGATGTCCTGATCCACCCACAGGTCTTACACCCAGTCGGCCCCTCCTCAGGATGTCCTGATCCACCCACCATTCCTGGATGCTTTGGTTTGAGCCTTTCTGAAATGCACAGATGTTTGTTCATCTCCAGAGACACCAGAGGTGTAGGATTTGATCTTTTCTGTTGGTCTTTCCCTTGCAGCAGACAGGGGCATGATCAAACAGGAGGTACAGTACCAGCAGGAAGGCTTTGAGGAGCTTTCCAGAGAGTTCCCGGGCACAGCCGAAGAGGAGGCTCTCCTGAGCCCAGCGCAGGCGGCGCTCTGGGATAATCAGGGCAGCTCTGTCTTCACGGAGTCGGGCCCCAGGGGCTTGGATCCAGGGGGGCCCATCGAGAGCAGTGGAGACCTCAGCAGTGGCAGGAGTCTGGGTGGCCGCCAGAAGCAGGCATCCAGTAGGCAGGTGCGACTGTGTCGGGAGCGGGGGCCGGGCCTGCCGCTTCAGAGGGACACCGCAGGCCCCTACGGGTGTTCTGAGTGCGGGGTCGACTTCCGTGGCAAGCAGCAACTGGCCGTGCACCAGCAGATCCACTCGGGGTGGGCGTCTCATGCAGACCCAGAGCCCACGGAGGACCTTCCGCCCAGGCCGAGACTCAAGCCCCAGGCCAAGAAGGCCAGGCTGCACCAGTGTGATGTGTGCTCACGGAGCTTCGGTTGTAAGGTGAGCCTGGCAACCCACCAGCGCTGCCACCTGCAGGAGGGCCCCCGGGCCGACCCACGCACCCAGGAGAGGTTCTCACCCAACAGCCTTGTCGCCCTGCCCGGCCACATCCCCTGGAGGAAAAGCCGGAGCACCCTCATCTGTGGCTACTGTGGCAAAAGCTTCAGCCACCCGTCCGACCTGGTGCGGCACCAGCGCATCCACACGGGCGAGCGGCCCTACAGCTGCCCTGAGTGCAGCAAGAGCTTCGTACAGAAGCAGCACCTCCTGCAGCACCAGAAGATCCACCAGCGCAAGCGGGGTGGGCCGGCCCTTGAGCCTGGGAGGCCCAAAGGCCTGCTTTAAGGGGGCCAGCCCCTCGCCATCCGGGGGGCGGGGGGCGCAGCACTGGTCTCCCTGCAGAACCACTGCAGAGGCAGGTACTGGGCTCACTCCAAGGGGAGGCGGGCAGGCAGGCCCAGTCTCCAGTGGTTTGCCTTTCTCTGACCAGGTCACAGGTGGGCCCAGCAGCTCTCCTGAAGCCACGTGGGGCAGAGGTATCTGGGGCCAGGCCTCTGCCACCTCTTCACCTGTGCTGTCTCCCACCTGTGCTGTTACTCGGGCAGTGGAGGTGGCTCTCCTGAGGTCCCCTTCGGGGGCCAGGAAGCCAGGCCCAGCGTGTCTTCCTGTTGGGGTTGGGTGGGGCCAGAGGTGGAGCAGGGTATGGAAGAGCTCTGGGAGGCACAGCCTCCTTCCCTCCTTGTGTTCATCATGCGTAGAAGTCACTGTTGGTGAACTGCTTATCCTGCTCTGAAGAACCTTTGGAATCGGATTTTTATTGATTTAAAAGAATACAGGCCAACACTTGTTTTTTAAATTTCGAGGGTTGTTGAAGTCGTTCCTGACATGGGGACTGGGCCTGCCCTCTAGGAGGGAATAGTTATGGGGCTCCTGGAGCTCACACGTAGGTCAGGGATCAGGGGACAGCATGCTGGGTGCCTCTTGGGGGCACTAGGCACTCTTCACGGGGGCTCCTCATCTTAAAAGACCAGGAGGAGGAGAGGAGGAGGCTAGCGCACACCACCCTGCCAAGAGTGAACGCTCCGGTGCGACCTCTGCTCTGGTTCTGGGCTCGGGCTTCTCACTGCACGTCTCTTCCAGCCCCGTCCTGCGCGAGGCCCTGTGGCCTCGGGGGTGGAAGCCTGCTTTGTTCCCTAAGGTTGTTCAGATTGGCTGAGCTTGTTCAGACTGCACCAGTTATTTGAGATTGTTCCAATTACACAGTTTCCAAGATGGTGGAGAAAAGGCACATGGCTGCTCGTCTCAGGAGTATGAATGGGAGTGGGCTCCTGGGCCACAGTGAATGTCCCTGATGATTTGCAGCTGCCTAGAATAAAACTTGCTACTAGCAAAAACGTGCTCTTGTCAGATTGTTTTTTTTCCATTCCTCACGAATGCTTTCCTGGGCCAAGGTGGAGGAGGGCGTGCTTGAGAATCTGTGTGTGTGGTGGGGAACAGGGACCATCGCAGTGTGTGTGCGTGTGTGTGTGTGTGTGTGTGTGGTGGGGAACAGGGACCATCGCCATGCGTGTGTGTGTGTGTGCATGTCTGTGGGGGGGTGTGGAGAACAAGGACCATCGCAGTGCCCCTGCAGAGAGGTAGGGAGGCTGGTAAGATAGGGCCGGTGGCCAGGGAGCACCAAGTAGCAGATACGCTGGTTGAGATGACCACATAGACATGGGGATCGACCTTAAATGCACAACGCTGAGTTAGCAACTTAAATGCAGTAAGATCTCCAGCACATCATTTATGTAAGTCAGAAGTGCTTGTATGCAAACCACACACAGAAACTGAAGGGGACACATTAACAACGTGGGGGGAGTAAAATGGAGAGATGATGCGGCAGACTGTAGGGTGTGGGGCTGTGATAGAGAGCAGGAGGGCCGTCTCCCAGCAAGCAGCTCGCAGTACAGATCGCCACTGTCCCATCCTCGACTCTTCCGATCTCCCAGCTCTTTGATGAGCGTTTTTATGGACTGGCCTGAGCCTTGCCTTGTGGGAGTAAAGAGCAACGGGTAAGCTATGGTCCTGCCCGCCGGCCAAGTTCAGCTTCCTGGGGCAGGGCAGTAAGCGTGGTCAACAGCTGGGCTGCTGTAATGCTAGCTAACATTGGCGGGGCACTTGTGTGCTAGGCGCTGTTTAAGTGCTTTCACAAAAGCTCACACGGCCCTGTGTGGTGAGCAGATCGTCACGTTTTACGTGTGAGACGCTGGAAGGAGCAGTGGGGCCGTGGCAGGTGGGGTGTGGACCCAGAGCCTGTGCTCCTGACCCGTGGGCGCTCTTGGCTCCACGGGAGGGTGGCCACAGGTGAGCACCTCAGGGTCCAGGTTGCGTCTAAGTCCTTTTCCCTCAACATAGGGTCCCTGCACCGCAGCATGGCGCTCTCCGAGACTGTTGGAGGTGCCACCTTGGCCACAGCCCACTGAGCCAGCACCGGCCCTCAGCAAGGCCTCCAGGTGCCTTGGGCACAGAGAAGGCTGTTTTAAGTGACTTCTTCGTGGGAAGCCTGCTCTGCTGAGAGCAAGAGTGAAACGGGAATGTTGTCTGAAGGACAGGGATGGTCTAGTTAGATTTCAATCAACACACGTGGAAGAATTCAACGCGGAGCACTTGTGACTCTCATCTGCCCTATCTTGCTCTTCTTCCTATTCTGCAGTTAAGGTCCTCATCGGCGCTCATTCAAACTACTCACTGACCTAACTGGTCTCCCTAATCCCAGTCACCTGCCTTTTGCTACCAGAGTCATTGTCCTGAACACAAATGGGACATGGATTTCCTCAAACACTTACAACGTCATCTGACTTCTGTCTCTCTTGCTCCCGCCGTAGCCATGCTTCCCCTCCACTTCTGCTCAGGCTTCCCTCTCCCACGAACACCCTGCTCTGCTTAACCAAGTCCTACTTCCTGATCACTGCCCAGTTTACAAGCCTTTTCTGTGAAAGCTTCTCTCAGCCACTTGTTTTTTGAACAAATTAGATATCGGTACCTGTTATGTGCTGGCACTGTTTTAAATAATTAGATACACAGGTGAACAAAACAGGTCTTTGCCCATGTTGGGTTTCCATTCCATCAGAATCTCTTCTCCCTGCAATCACACAGCCCGTCCTTCCTAGGTGACTGCAGTGTTCCATTCTGCCCTGGACTCTGCCTGCTTACAAACACCAGAGTGCCTGCCGTGTGCAAGGTCTATGGAGGGATGCACGGGAAGAGCCTACATGGATCCTGAGCTTCAGGCTGTTAAGGGAACCTAACACAAAGTAGACAGTTACATGTCTTAAGGCTGAGGGCTGTTAAGGATTCAGAGAATTGTTTAAGATGAGGGGCATTAAGGAAGACATTGGGGAAGACTTTATGAGAGGTGCCTTTGGAACTGGACCTTTGAGGATGGGAAGGACATTCTACATGAGGTGACCTGACCAAAATAGGGGAAATCATGGGGTATGTCCAGGGGAAGAACAGTTCGTTCAGTGTGCCCAGAGGGTGGGGTGTGAGGAGGGGGGTAATGTGAGACAGAAAAGAGGATGGGGTCAGGCAAAGGGGTTTGGATTTTATTTGGCTGGTAATGGAGAGCTAAAGAATCCTGAGCATAAGGGTGACCTGGTTCTGCCTGTGATCTGGGAATATTAATCTAGTAAGAGTTATATAAGGCTTCTTTTACTGGGGAGTGAGGACAGGAGATAAGTTAGAAGGTTTTTGAGGAAGACCAAGGAAGAGCTGTGAGGGCAGGCGCAGTGGGAAGAGTGCAGGACAGACAGACTAGATTGCCAAGACAGGGTCAAAGGAGGCGATGCTCTTTGAAGGCTGGGCCCTGTCTTCTGCACACCCAGCCGCCACAGCAGCGAGCACGGTGCTACTGTACTCACCAAAGGTTTGCTGAATGGACAAGCATTTTGGGCATCCACAGGATGGGGAGCTCAGTGTTGTCTTATTTGAGGTGGTTCATGGGGGAAAGGAGGCTCAGCTGTACCTCTGATCTCCCTCAACTAACACTTCCCCTCCCAGAGTCTCCATAGTTCTGTGCAGGTCCACTACCTAATCCAAATGACTTGCCTGGATGGTTGAGTGAGGGGCACCAGGAACTCTCTCTCTCTGAGCTGCCGTATGTCTTGGTGAGGACTCTGTGGTAGGGAACAAGCGCACTCAAATAGCTGGAGCCCCTTGGGGTGACCCCGGTGTTATTTTGATGTCCCTCTGCCTCTGACGACCCCATCTGCTGCAGTGGAGGCTGATGAGCAGCTATTCCAGAGTGACCTGCCTGCACCTTGGTGGAGTCAGCCCTGTTTCTCCAGGGCCAGCGCCTCCACTGGAGGTCAGTTTACCCGAGGGTATTGAGGCCCTGGAGCTCTGATCCAGAAAAGAGCACTTTCACAAGAGACAGTAACAGATAAGGATGAAAAAACCAAAAAACCAAACCCGTTGCCATTGAGTTGATTCTGACTCATAGCGACCCTATAGGACAGAGTAGAACTGCCCCATAGGGTTTCCAAGGAGCGGCAGGTGGATTCTGCCAACCTTTTGGTTAGCAGCCACAGCTCTTAACCAGCCACCAGGGCTCCAGATAAGGATGAAGGTAAGTTTATATTGGAGCTCCCCCTGGCCTGACACCAGGCTGGTCTGCTCAGGGATCAAAGTATGGCGATAAAGTTTTTTGTTTTTTAATTATAAAATCAGAAGTATGGGAAGTAGCTGTGGGAGCCTGCTAAGTAGGTCAGTGGTTCTCGGAGTGCGATCCCGGATCAGCAGCATCAGCATTACCTGGGAACTAGCTGGAAATGCAAATTCTCGCACCCCACCCTCTCATCACAACTTGCAGTATTTTATAGTCCTTAATATACTGGACTGACCCCTGATGAGATCCTGGGAGGGCTTCTAACGTAGTCAACACACATTTGGAAATTGTCTCTTAGGTTGGGTTACTTCAACAAGGACTTCCACAATAAATAAGGGCATATATTGATCTGATTTCTTGTTACCTTAAAGTAATGCTTCCTAACCTTGCCCCAAACTCCAGGGGTGCACCGTAGGAGAGAGTATCTATTTATTTATTAGTTGAACACACATTTGCTAGGATTAACTATTGGGTCAAATAATTTTCTCTGCAAACAAACACGCAGAAACAAAAAGCTGCAGAGTGATTTCCGGTGGGAGGCTTGCGGGCTTGGGGGACAAAGAGCACAGACAAACGAGAAATGCAGAAAAGACAGAAAACGGAAACTTCTCTCAGTGGTTAGTTCTGGGTTTCCAGATTGAGCTCTCGGCTACAGACGGGGAAATGGGCCCTAGATGGCTGGGTTCCTCAGGCGCCTGGGTGGAGCCAAGAGGAGACCCCAGCGCAGGAGACCCACACTCATTCAAATAAGTTCCCGGGAAACCGGATCTGGGGTGCCTTTTTGTTTCGTTGTAAATAAAATTTTCCTGAGGTCTTTCCATTTGTGCTGGAAAACTGAAGAAAGTTTTAAAACTCTCATCTCTTCCCTCTGCACATAGTGAATACTTCTTTTCTTCCCAAACTAATAGTCCCTGCGGATCTGTCAAAGGCTCTCGAATAGCGAGTCTGAGCACACTTGGGATCATCCAGCCGATCGCCCTCCTCCCCGAAGTCTCCTTTACTTCCCAGGCGCCTTCGCAGCATTTCCTGGGGGGGGGGGGACGTGGACCTTCCCTCCGTCCCAGCCCCTGGAGGGAGGTCGGGGCCGGACTGGAGTCCGCGGGGCAGCCCCTGGCGTCCACTCTCTAGATCACCGCAAAGGGCGGGGTGCCGAGTCCCTGTTCCTGGTGACCCCTGGGGACCCACAGGGCGGCAGGGCAGGGTGCACCGCTGTGCCTGGCGCGGGACCAGGGACGCGGGGAGCCGGGAACGCGGTTCCGGGTCTGAGTAGGGTTGGGCGGTGGGCCGGTCCTGGCTGGGACGTGGGACTCCGGGACGGTCCGAAGGGCCGGGTGCCGGGTCCCGGGTCCCGGGTCCCGGGTCCCGGGCGCAGCTCCAGGCCATTCGCGGGGTTGGGGACGCGGAGCGGGAGGCGCAGGTCTGGTCGAGTCTGGGCATGGTGGCTTGGCAACGCGCGGCGGGGCGCGGGTCCGAGTCCGAGGAGCGCGGGCCCGAGTCCGAGGAGCGCGGGCCAAGGTCTGAGTGAGGTCCGGGCTGCCGCGCCCGCGCGGTCCTTCCGGCTGCAGGGGGCGCTGTGCGCGGCCGCGGGCGCAGCTCTTGTTAAAAGGCCGGGGCACGTGGCCGGGACGCAGCTCGCGGCCGCCG